TTAATGTTATAGGCTGATGACAAGGAACCATATCCCCTATTCCTGTTTGCATTTCTTTCTGGTGAGTACTAACATTGAATTTGATATAGACACTTAGAGAGCCTTTCCCTTGGCCCTTGTTTTGGAGAACTTCCCAAAGAGATGCAGGTACAGACTCCTCCACACAGTTTACCCCATGCTCTCAGGATTGCTAATTGTTCCGCCAATTCTTCCTGTGCTGTCAGACCCCAGAGGTGGGACATCATTATTCAGTCCTGTTGGCCATGCAGGAAAGCATGTGCAGGACGGGGCAGTGAACCTGTGGAGTGTCGTGCACTCTCCAGCTAATGAATGCAGGCTTGTAAAAGAGTTTGGACACTGCTGGCATCCTTAATGGGAGGGTGGCTGATCGCTAACTCCTAAAGCTGTGCTCATCTACAAGCAGCCCTTAGAAACCAGGAAGCACACGACGTGAACCTTCAGGGGAGCACATGTAGGTAGTCTCTCCTTCATGCATTCAGCAAGCACATTTTTGAGAATGTCTGTGCCAACCTCTGTTTTAGACACTAGGCATACAAACGACAAAGGAGAGTCAGTCCCTGGAAGGTCTACTTTTTGTTGGAGAAACCTGCACAGACACAGAAACTCATAAGACTATGTGATAAGAGATGCCCAGGGAAGTACAAGAGTCAGACAAGGTCATGGTCAGGAAATTCTTCATGGGAGAAGTGGGAGCAACATGCTGTAGATCAAGGACTTCATTTTGGAATCCGGGTAAATCAACCTAAAAATGCTTGTAGGTCTCAAAATAACAGAAGACCTAACTTAAACTAACTCGATAAAGTAAGTTAATTATTTTCTCATCTAACTGAAAGTCCAGAGGAAGGGTCGTTTGATAGAGAGTTTCACCATGTTTTCGGGACCAGGGTTCCACTTCCCTGCCGTTCTATCGATGGTGCTATCCTCCCTGGCTCAGCTTCTTCTCAGGCTGGCTCCCCTCATGGAAACAAAACGGCTGCAGCAGATCCAGGCCTCACATCCACACCCCATACGATCCAGGTGACCCAGCATTCAAAGCCAAGCTCTTGAGATTCACTCTGTTGGAATGGCCTAAGTCACGTGCCTGCACCCATCTCATTAAGCCATTTTTCATCACCTTAATACAACTCTGCCATGAGTCCAGGGGACTCCTGAGCCGCAGTGCTCCATGTAACGACTCAGGGATCCAGGCAGAAGCAGTGTCCTGCCGACCTGTAACTCCACTCCTAAAACATACAGCCTCCTGAATCAGAACTGCAAGGAAAGAGCCAGCAGTCAAACACTGCGAGCCAGATGCCTGGCGTGGAAGTGACAGCCAGCGCCTCTGCTCACATTTCATTGACCTAACACAGGTCACATGGCTGGGCCTAACTTCAAGGGACAGGTGAGAGCCCGCTGTGTCTAGGAGTAGAGGAGAACGGCATGCTGGCGGATGCCCGCGACGCCTCCTGCGGCCGTGGAATTCCCGGGCTTCCAAGCAGGAGAGAGAACCGCACCGCGTGTCACCCCACATGCCCCCTCTCTGCCGGGTCTCCTCCAATCCCGCTGCCACACGCAGGAGCTTGTTTCCAGAGGGGGAGGAGACTGGCAATGGAAAGATTAGCCGCTCCCAGGGTTCCACACAGGGATCAGTATTTTCAATAGTACTTTGTGAGTTCAGCCTCAAAGTAAATGGTTAATTCATCTTGTATCAACAGCACTGTGATTCATAATGTAAACTTGGAGAATCCTTGATGTTTCGGGCCCACATTCCTTTTAATTTGGCTCCGCGTTCTTTTAAAGCCACAGTGTGCTCACTTAATAGAATGCAGCATGCAAATGCACAAGTTTTTGCCCGGAGGCAATTTAGCCTGGCTGTTTCAATGGATGTCTTCTTTCAAGTGTATATTCTTTCTTAAATTATTTACTGGGTAAACACACTTTGCATTTTCAAAAGGGAGATTAAGACAGCTTGCTGCAGACCTCGCTGAACGTAAAGCCCCCCTGTTGCCCAAAGTTAGAACGAAGTTACTTCGGGCTTCCCCAAAGTTCCTTACCTGGCTCGCGAGCTGGGAACCCCTCTCCTGGCCTGTTGTCCTGATGCTCTGCAAACCCCGCATTCCTTTCTGCTTTGCCTACAGCAATACCTGCCAGCAGCCTCCGGCTGGGACTGTACTCCAGGCTTCCTCACAGATGGGACCCACCAGTGCCAGCCTTTGTTTCCCCCGCTCCTGGCTGGCTCGTTCCTACCCCGTCAAGGACCCCAGCAGCTCCCTTTTCTGGTCCTTAGAGGCATCATAGCAACCTAACACCTTTGAGGTCCAAAGCGGGGTTGCCAGCCTGAGTCAAGCTTATTTCCAACTCAGTCCGCTCCAAATCTTTTTTTTTTTTTTTTTTTTTTTTGCCCCTTCTACACACTTTGTCCTAAATATCTGTCAGCCCTCGGTTTGAAAGCAAGTGCTCTCTCCTGCCCACGTCCTCCGCCACATGCCTCCGTTCCGTGAGGACCGTGCCTTCTCCTGGCATCAGGGAGAAGATCCATTAGTGCTCTGGTAAGGCATATGGTATGAAGCTGCATCTTTGGGGGGTTTACTTCAACGTGTAACTTCAGCCTTTCCTACGCAGACTCCCTGAGATTTGCCTGCAGAGTTTGCACAGATTTCTTCTCCGTTTACCCTTGAATGGAACGATTACAATTACAGGAGCTGCATTCTCTGATGAGCATCCTCGGGTGGGTCTCTTTGGAGCGCGGTGTGCCAGCAACCGTACTGTGTTCTGGGGCTGTAGAGGAGACGGCTCCAGGCTCCGGGCCCACCGAGGAGTGAGTGGACAGCTCGGTCTTTCCCACTGTCTGTGACCCAGCAGAGAGGTCAGACTATCCTGGGATCTGTCGTGTGCGGAGTGAATTAAACATATGAGCTGGGAAGAGGGATTGTGGGAGAATCACACCCCTCTTTGCCTTGAGATGAGGGAAGCCCAATTAGGAAGGCCAGGGAAGAGCTGAGGATTCAGGGATTCCTGTGTATTCATTTTTCTAACCATGCTTCAGATTAAACAAGTAACACCCGCAGTTAATCCTTTATAAATTAGCATCATGGATGCCTTGGGGCCCTCAACCCACAAATAAAATGGTTGTCAACCAAGAGACGCACTACCGTATATTACTTAAGGCAGAATTTTAAAGAGTTTTCATGCTTTTAATCTGTTTCACTGCTGAGTTTCAATTTTGCTGATTTCCTTTGCGAGTCTGACGCAGATGACTGTGGCAAATAGAGACTGTGACAGTGACTCGGGCAAACGGGAAATGTAGAGACTGTTCTGAAGACTTCTGCCCCCTTCCAGAGAAAAGGGGAGAACATCAACTTGGGTTTCAAATCAAGCCACCAAGTGGCACCGATCAGTGTTCATAATTAGCCTCACTTTTAACAAGCCGTGAAGTCCTGTTTTTATTTATTTATTTGGAGGACAGAGAATCTTCCTGCCTCCTGAGTAAATATGGCCTGTTAAGTCCGAATTAGCTGTCATGGCAGAAGAATTAATGTCAGGGCGCAGCCTTTCTAGTGGGGAAGGGGAGAAATAAACGAGACAGATCTTAGCTGAGCCTTGCGTGATAAATGAGGACCGAGCGGATCATTCATCTCCTTCGAGGAAAGTGGACACAGGCACTAACGCAGTTTTGCGGAAGACGTGTCAGCAAATGTGATCATTTTGTAACCTGTCAGGAGGAGAGGGGGCTGGTCCTTCCAGGGGGCCACGGGGGAGGGGGCTTGTCTGATGTGACCATCACCATCCATCCATGTAGGTTTGGAGAAGAAGGGGGTGGGTGAGGAGGAATCCAACTGAAGCCACAAGGATGTCATCTTCCTTCCGGAAGCTAGTAAAGGCTGCCAACGCCTTCCAGAGATTTCTTCACCGAGACACAAAATAGGAGGCAGGGTCTCTGTCGGACTAAGACAGCAGACCTTTTTCTGCTTGATATTTGCAGGAACAGGCAGATGGGATTTGCTGTGGGGTGTCAGGCATAGACAGCCACTCTATCGCTGTCTGGTGGGTTCTGTGGGAGGAGCGTGGGCCGGGCCACTTGACCTGGGTTCCCTTTGACAGCCTCAACAAAGCATTCTGTCGCTCGACCCCTTTTCTCAGAATGAGCTCACGCACTGTGAGGCCACTTCCTTGCAAACTCTCTGAAGGCGTCTCGGAGCACGTGTCTCTATTCTGTTTCTCCTCCTGACTTCCCGGTCCCCCGTCATCCACACCAGCTTATATTTGGGCCTCTGGAGTCCCCAGAGGTGAGGGTCCACCAAGCAAAGCACATGAGGCACTTAGGTACTCTGTGTAATTTCTCATTTCCATCTTTTTTTTTTTTTTTTTTTTTTGTTACGGAGCAAATGTAACGTTTCCTCCTGGCATAACCGAGCAGTGAGCCCCAGTGACAGATGACGGTTTCGCAGCCTGAGCTGCGAGTTTGACACTTGCTTCTTAATCCTGTCCTTTTCTTCCTAAATCTCTCTTTTACTTTTCCCCGGGTATTTTTGTACAGGTAAGTACCTTACTGACATATGTTTCCTTGGAGTCTTTTACAGGAAACACTGCAAAAAAATGAAGCTTGTCTCACATTTTAAATTAAAACGAGAAGCTCACATGGGGCCCTTGATCGCTTAAAGATTACTACATGGTACCCCGAGCCTAGAAAAGCCATTTGATTCGCGTTAGCATTTCTCTGAGTGCCGCGTGACAGTCACTGTGGAGTCGTTCATTTCCTCCCGGGTCGTTTCTAGAACCAAAAAGCTCATGAGCGCACACATGCAGGCGTGTACACACACACACACACACACACACACACACACACGCATGCATGCGCGCTCACTTAAGCCCCGCACTGGGCTCCCTACCCCCACCTGTGAAGCCATACTTTGATTAGCCAACTTGGTCTGGAATGGTCTTTGTCTGAAAGTCCTTCGTTTATCTGTGCGAATTATTTTCTTTCCTTTGCTCTTTCATAGAATCATCCAGAACCGCATCCTGGTCGTCATCTTGGCCATCATCCTGGTTGTCACCATCCTGATGGCGATCACTTTTTCTGTCAGAGGACATTGATGGATCTGCTCTTCCCTGATAAACAGCAACAACGGCCTGTTCTGAGTAATTAAGACAAAATGGTCACATGAATCATTCTTTTGCGCCGACAGGCCCTGAATGACCCTCCCTCTTGTCACCAGTGTTCAGCTGAAGCACAAAGAGTGTAAAAATATTTTCTATTCCTGCTTGCGTGTGGGTCGGTTTCCTTTTCTAGTTTGTCTTCACCCAGATTTGTTCTTTTGTAGGAGAAGGTGAATGTTTATTTGCCTTTTGGGAATTTCATCTACTCACCAAAATAGCCTTGGTGACTTTTCTTCCTGGCCTGTGGACATGTCAGGGGTCATGGTTTGGGATAGGGCATGATGAGTCAGTCATGGGGCATCTGATGGGCTGTGCTGTTTGTCATACATCTCTTGTCACCAAACTGCCCTTCTGTGATGTCCAAGAATAAAATGCAGAGAAAAACAGAGGCCAGAGCCAGTGACCCACTCCAGTAAACCGGCCCCATTCCTACCCAGGCATAATGAATATACTCTACCTGCCTGAGTGCTTTCATTGTAAAGGTGGATATTTAATATCATTTGTGCAGGAAATTGACTTAGCACTTTCTCTGTTTTTCTATGCATATATATTTTTTTTTACAGCCAAGAATATTTTTGCTGAGCCTGCCCAAGATCCACTTTTCACAACTTTGATTACTGGCTACATGAAATATTTCCTTACCTTCCCCAAATCCCACAGTCCCCAGAATTTGCTGGCAAAGGGAGCTTTGGCATGATATTTAATTGTGACCTCCTCTCCCCTGACCTGTGTAAGCATCTCTGTATCCTTTCGGTTTTAATATCTGCACTGCCAAAAGCAGCCCTCATACATGCAAAAGGTCTGACAAGGTTCCCTCCACATCCATTCCAGTATGTAAAGAGAACATGAATATTTCAGGAAGAGCAAGAACATGAGTCCGTCAGTGTGAAATTTCAAATGTGATTATAAATATGGCACTGAGTCCTATAGGATGATCCACTAGAAATAAACTTTATGAGAAATGGTCACTAACCTCCTTCAAAAGAGTAAGGGATTGCAGCATGTTACAAAGGACTGCTTGGGTTTTCTGAAAAAAAAAAAAAAAAAATGTTAGCACAGCCTTCCTGAATTCACTGTGTATTCAAACCTCTGACATGCTTTGTGAGTTTCTTTGGTTTCTTTCTGTCCGAGGTAACCGGGAATTGCGTTCAAAATGAGTTCATTTAGGATCAAGCTTAAAGTTGCCCATGCTGAGGTCATTTCCCCCCAGTCATAAAGCAAAATGTGTTTTTCTTAAGACTTTGTAGGCATTTACGAGGTCCGTGCTATCTTTTGAAGATAATTGGAAGTTTTGAATCCTGGAAAAGCAAACCTGTTCTCTTCATAAAAAATGCTAACCACCTGTGCCCAGAGATTGAGCTCGCCTCGATGCGGCACTTTATTTTATATTTTGTCCCAACTCCGAAAAGAACCATGATGGTTTAGAGAGGAAATGCAGAATGGCAAAATCCACCAGAGAAATCGTACTTAGCGCAACAAGCCAGGCCCTGCGTGTGTCCAGATAAATCATTTAGTATTGTGTAAATAAAACCGCAGCCTTTACTTTGCAGGGATGGTATGGGATTTGGGCAAAGAGAAGTAGAACAGTGAAGCAGTGGAAAGGCAGTGCTAATTTTCCTATCAGCTTAAGGGATCCATCTCAGCAAGTTTCTTTTATTCCGATAACGGGTTTCCGTACATGCTGAACACATTGAAGAAACCATTAAAAAGCAGGAGAACAAACAGACAACATCCTTCTCCTTCCGAAACACTAATGGCAGGGAAGTATTACCCCCGCGTCTCCGGTGGCTTTTGAAACCGTTGACTTAGCTAAAGCGTATAACCAGTTATCCAGCGACCCCTCACACCTCTTCCCAAGGCCACCCACAAAACCGGGTTGATCTGATCATCTCAACCCACCGGCTCCTCAATATTTCACTAACACTTTGCATTCATGTTGAAGTAGATGAAATGGGGTGGGGGGGAGGGGGAAGCATTACTTCCCTATCAATGGCTTTTCCTTTCCAGTTCTACCTCTTTATCAGCTCTTGCCTGAGCTTTTGCCCCAATTCAACCTTGAGACTGGGAGACTCTGAACAGATAACCCTTGGCCTACCAACCCCATCAAACCCACCTTGAGAGTGACCCCCAAGACCCTGATGGTGAGCGTTTTGTAGGAAGCTGGTCTGAAGTCCGGAGAACTCCCTGGCCCTCCGCCTGCTGCAGAAGAAATGCAAAGGAGCCCACCAGAGGCATGCTTTTCTCCCGTCCCCACTCCCCTGCTCCTCTGGGAAGGGAGAAAGCCCACAAATTCGAAGCAGGTCCTAGATCTGTGAAAGGTTCTAGGAACTTGCTATGTAGACTTTGACTGCTGACTATGCCTCCAGTTGGGAGCCTGTGCTAGAAAATGATGTTCAATGTGAAGGGGGGTGGAGGGGTGGTGAAGAGAAGACACCGAGGAGGAAGAGGAAGAGGCGGCCCTTGCCATATAAAATTCATGCAGACTAAACAGTTTCCCTGACCGAATAAATAAAGCCGATGCTACCCTGCTCCAGAATCAAAAGCAATTTAATTAAAGTCTCTTAAGTTGTAAAGAGTTTTAAATGTTCCGTGTTGAAGGCGAATGCCTGCATATGCAATGGGCTTGACGTCAGCCGCCAGGCCTGGGCTGGGAGGCCATTTGCTATTCTGTTTAAGGCAGGCTGGATTGTCTTATTTTGGAACCAGCTTGGTGGGGGGTTTGCTTTGCTACTGCTTCTGAGCCCTGAGCTTCAAAGGCTGAAATTAATGGTGAACAAAATTGTGCAGCTCTGGCCGTCCCATGCGGGGCAAGCCCATTGAGGGTTATCATTAAGTAAAGAAATAAAGAGGGGGAAAAAAGCCTGCCTGTTCCAAAAACCTCATCAGATAATGACCTCAGTGATTGGATTTTCATTACCAAACAGCATCCAGAGATTATCTACCCCATAGAAGAAGGGAAGGGGGGGTGGTGGAAAGAAAGAAAGCAACTGTCTTTCTCTTCCTCTCTTTCTCTTTTTTTTTTTTTTGCACATCTTTTCTTTAAAACTGTCAGATCATTTCAGTATTTCAAATCCGAGGAAAACAGCCTGCCTGCTGCTGTATTTGAAGTTGTAATGGTGTCAAAAAGTCACGACTGACTGACAGCCGTCAGTCCCAGAGGGGCTCATTAAATCATAAAAACTTGACAAGGAAATAATTGCGCATCGCCAGCAACTTGGCGCCTGTTTAGACGTTTTTATTTTCTTTCATTATTAGTCCCCACCATTGCGTTCATTAACAAATTGCATTAAACAACTGTTAAGGGCTAATGATTTGTTTATCGCTTTTTATTATTATTATTATTTAAACATTAGCTGTGTCATGTGGTACCCTAGCAGCCTCTTGCCATCATCTGACTGAATATTTTTCCACTCCGAGCTCTGGGTACTGTTGGAATATGAAATAGATTATTCATTACTCTCCTCTTTGCCACTGATTTGATTTCATGTAGCGTCTTCCACAGAGAAAGATGAAAACTTGTCAAAAATAGGTTATATCTTATTCGAAGGGGCAACAATAGCAGCAGGTACAGGCACACTTTAATATTTAATTAAGGTTGATGTTAACCCCTTTAAATGACTTTAGCTGTAAGTTCTATTCAAATGCAGAAGAGAAAAATAATTGTTCTTAATTTGCAACCTGTTCAGCAGGCATTCTTCATGGAGTTAGCAGGAAATTTAGAGCCGAATTTTTAAATAATGAAATTTCCCATCATAAATATTTATAGCCGTTTGTCTACGTAGTTGAGAATTAACTACAAGCAATGATTTCCTCGTCTCTTTGGTCTGAACCGCTAGCCTAGCCAGGCACTTGGTGCTTGGGCGCGGAGCTGGCTTTCCTGGGCGAAATGCACATCCAAGGTCTGTTGGTTGCTTGTGGCTGGTGCTGGTTTCAGAGGAAGCTCTGTGAGTCCCTTGTTTCTGGTCCACTTGTCTCCTCCGCTAGCTGAGTCTGTGGTTGGAGGACTGTGGTCTGGAGAGTAAGTAGGGATTTCTTAAAGGAACACTTGTGTGTCCAGTCGGCTGGTGTGGGGCGGGTGGGGGTGTGATGGGGTGTCCAGGCGTCTCTGTGTAGTCAATGAGCTTATTGCTTCCCTAGTAGACAATAGGATCGCTTCTCGGCCTTTTGGCTAAGATCAAGTGTAGTATCTGTCCTAGTAGACAATAGGAGCCATGCTTTGCTGGGGTGGACCTTCCATCTTTTTTTTTCCCTTCTGTGGCTTGCCATTGGTGAAATCCTCAGCTCTTCCATGGGCTCTGAGCTGGAGGGGAACAGCAACATCTCCATCCCAGGCCTGAAGTTAGTGGCATTCTCCATGCCGGGACTGCTGGCCGCATTTGGTCACCCTGTTTGATTCGATGAGTTTCACATAAACATGGAAACACTCTCAGAGGCCTGGTTCATTGGGACTTCAGGGCTGGGGTGTCCTGGTCTACATCAGGGAACGAGGAGTACTTTTCTGCCAACTTGTTTTACTCCCACCCATCCTCAGAAAGACACCCCTTGGGCATCTACACCATGGATGTGAAGGGGAGAGATGGCACATGTTCCCTGCTCAGCCACCATCTCTCAGCATCACCCACCAAAGGACAGGCACTCCAGTGGGAGCTGTGGCATCAGAGGGGCTCATCCAGCAGGCACGAGCCAGGGGAGGCCGGCCCTAAGCCTCATAGATCACCGTGGCCATGGAAACAGGAGTCGGGGGGGGGGGGGGACTCAAACCTCCATTTCGATCTGTTCCAAATTAGCCACATGCCAACTTGCCACCTTCGGAACGGACTCCACACCTCAGCAAAAGATCTGCTCAGAGTCATTTTTCCAAAATGAAGGAAGGCTTTGGGGTAAAGCCATCCCCCGTTGGGGGCAGACGCCCAAAGACCCTGGTTGCCTGAGATGAGATGCCAGCCCTCAGACTTGACCTCATCCTATGCTATACTTCATTACCTTAAACCAAATTCCGGGGAACATTCTTGCCTACATGGCTTTGCCCATAGCCCATGGCGCTCAAACCAGTAGTGTCTGCCAGGGGCCACCCACATTTCAGGACTAGTCAGGTATCTCTTAGACAAGATGCCAGCCTATTTAAAATGGGGCGAGTGACCATGTGGATAGCTCGGAGAAGTTCTTAAAGCCACAAGCAGTGCGTCCAAGAAGGGAAACATTGAAGGGTAACCAAGAGTGGACCGGCACAGGCAGGAGAACATTGTATGTGGCTGGAGCCAAGGCTGGACACGGGGTCCTGAATAGGTGACGGAACCGGGGTCAGCATCCTCTTCTGTCTTAGAGGAGGGAAGACACAGAGATTGCTGAGAGAGACTGCCCGTGGCCGCTAGGATCCCAGGTCAGTGGTAAGGTAAATGTTCCAAAGCCAGCTTCCCAGAGGCAAGTAGGGCAAAAACAAGATGGTGGGCAAACCCAGAATGACAGGGCAAGTGGCTTGGGGATGTGTGAGGGCGTGAGGAACAGACGGCGCATAGGTCAAGGACGGATTCCCAGCACCAGGGGAGAGGCGGTGGTTAGCCGGGCACCTCCCAGGAGACAGGAGGGAGGGGCATGGGCATCAGGCCCCGCTTTGTGCTACCCTGGGTGCGTTATCGAAGCCAAAGGAGGGGGAAAGACAAGGTGCGTCTCTCCCAGGACCCCGGCCCAAGCCACACACCACCCCTGCTGGCATGCCTGAAGGAGCTCCCAGCATGCTGTGGGAAAAGCACTTCCTCATCCTGAATCACCTCATTACTCGTGCTACATAAATAACGAAGGCATCACAGAGAGAGGGGGAATGCTAGGCAGCAGAGCGCTGGACTGTGGTTCTGTGAACTTGTGCACCCCCCTCCTTCCCTTCATCCAAACAAGGCCCTTTGGCGTGAATAATAGCTCAACGGCCCCGAAGCCCGTATTGATCTGCTGCACACACAGCTCCGCTGAGAGCTGCCTGGACTTTTCCTGGGGGCAGGACAGGGCCGTTCAGCGCAGCACCCGCCCTCCCCCACCTCCTCGGCCTCCCCAGGTGTGCTCAGGCGGTGACAGCACTGGGTCGGGGGTGGGGGGGGGACAGAGGTGGCCAAGGCCCTTCTCCAGCCCAGTGCTGCTTTGTTGCTTCAACTTTTTTTGTTTTTAACTTATTTTGCCAAGAAAAGTACCTGAGTTGGAAAGAAATGTTTTTTGCATGATGAGGCCCCACAGAGTTGAGAATGAAATACATCCTCAGGCTCTAGCTTCTCTCCAGAAGGTTCTGCTGCAGACCCAGGCCACAGAGGCACCCTCAGCTGACACTTATGGAGGCCGACTGTATGCCCGGCACTGGGCTAAGCGCTTTGGATGCCGGACTGCCGGTTCCTGTTAATTTTCTGTCTTAACGCCATCAGAAGAGAGGAGCTGAGGATGTGGTCGTGTCTTTGGGGGCGGGGATTGTTGTTACATTCAGTAGAGAAGGCCAGCGGTAGGATGCTAAATGCGCAGGGCCTGAAGCCCGATGGCCCCACACCCTGGGGCTGCAGACACACTTTCCCCTTCCTTGTTCACTTCTGTTTGGGACACAGCAGGTGGGCCAGGCCTGGGCCCTCCAAACCATGTACAATTGTATGATGAGCCAGGTCTCTGCACAGTGATACCCTGTGGGCTGGGAGATACCTGAGATCCCACCTTTAAAGGCCCATTCCTTTGGTGTATGAGCTTGAACCCTGGGAAAAAAGACAGATTCCTTTTCTTCTGGTCAGACCCAGTCCCATCAACCCATTGATCCCTCTGGGTGAATTGTCTGACCCTCTCCTGCGGGCAGATTTTGGATCTGGGGGAGGAAAGACACCCCCCCCCCACACACCATGGGAGGGAGCATTTAGTGATCTTTGGGAGAAAGGGCAGAAGGGAAGGAGACCTTGGTTGCCAGGGCACAGCCTTGCCCTAGAAGCCCACACACTCCCTGGCCAGGGCCCAGGACCACTCGGGTCAGAGATACATGGGCTCTGCCAAGGCCAGATAACTGGTTGAGGGTCCCCTGGCTCCTCTCCCAGCAATGCCCTTGGGGGGAGGAGGAGAGAATGCAGGAAGGCGGTGGGGGCCGTGGTGGAGGGAGAGTTAGAGCAGTAGGCAGAGGGGTCCAGCCAATTGGAGCTCTTCCTCGGAGAGCTGCTCCAGCCCGCCTCCCCCCACCCTTCCCCACCCCCTACCCCACCCCCCACCCCGGCCCTGCTGAGGTAAGAGGCCAAGGCTTCACAGCTTCCAAGCTGGCATTTGGGGAAGAGCCCTGGGCAGCGCCTCCCCCACACCGCCCCATCCAGCAGTCTTGGCACAGCACGGACACGGCGACCTCGGAGCCTCTCTCTGCTTGGTTTCCATCTTCTCTTCATCCACGCCGGCCACCACCCCACCCCCCACAAGAAACTACAGAGCGAAGAGAGAGCCAGAGCTTCAGCGGGCTCACTGTCGTCCCCGACAGGATTTCCGAACGGCCAAACCTCTCCCCGTTTGAAGCATGAGAGGTGTCACCAGATTTATTCATCTAGGCAGAAAATATTTATTGACTATCTGCTGTGTCCCAGGGCCCAAAGACATGTGGTGAAGAAGCTAGGGAAGAAAACAAGTTACTGTCGTTGGAAAGCTGTTTCGTTCCCAGAGCCCTGACTTGCTCTCTCATCTCAGGCAGGTCACTCTCAGGCTCTGGAAGTCATGTCACGCCGTCCAGGCCTCTGCCACCTGCCGCTGCGGCCCCTGAGGTTAAAGCCCCATTTCCCTGAATTCTGCAAAGCCCTCTAGGGCTGTGTGTTCGTGCCCCCTTGTAATTTCCAGGACTACATGTGCAAAATGGCCCCGTTGGAGTAGAGTAGAGTAAGGTTGACATATGCTTGCAAGTGGTTGAGTCCCCATCAGCACTGGCTCCGTATGCAGGACCAGCCCCCGAGGGGCAGGGAACGGGAATGGGGACCCTTTAGATTGGGACTGACTTAGAGGCTTTTTTTCCTTTTTCTTTTTTCTTTCTTTCTTTTTTCTGCTTATTAAATGATAAAGGTTTGACTTGGCAGGCAATCAGAAACCCAAAATATCATAAAAGGGAGAAAAGTTGCCGAGTGGCTAAGAGGCTCACCACGGGAGTGTCACTGGGCTCAGCGGCGAGGTGAATTGCTGAGCGATGGAGCAGGAGACATTTTTCAAAGGCTTCTCTCCCCTTCTTCTCCTCTCTTTGCCCCCCATGCGGAAAGGGGAAAATAGAAGCAGAATCCAGATTTGGGCATGAGGCTGACTGGTCACCCTCCCCCAGACAGCGGAGAAACTT